GACTGAATCCAAATTTTGTGAAACAAATCTTTTTTATTTTTATTAATACACTTTTGTCTTTCATGGTTTTATTTTATTTTTGAAATGAACATATTTAGATACCAAAGAATAAAATAAATTTCAATGAAATAATGCTTCCAGACTGACTGGCACAATGAGAACATTAGTAAGCCCAAAGGGCTAAACTGGCGGCTGGTCCCCTCATGGTTTAGTTCTAACTTCCCCATCTCACTGGTGTCACTACCACATGAGGCTGGTTGGTGACAGTTTATGAGGGTTAAGTATGCCAGTCTGTCAAAGTTTTTGACAAAAATGCACTGGGTTTCTGTCTGAAGGGAAATTTGTGAATAGTTGCACAGTTCAACAGTTTTAATTCTGTCTGCTTAACAGCCTATCATATCAAAGAAGACCCAGAGAACACACAGATTTCCTTCCTTCTGGCTCTTTTTTGTTTGTTTGTTTTTGAAACAGAGTCTTACTCTGTGCCCTGGGTAGAGTGCCGTAGCATCATAGCTCACAGCAACCTCAAACTCCTGGGCTCAAGCAATCTCTTGCCTTAGCCTCTTCAATAGGTGGGGCTATCGGAGCTCACCACAACACTCGGCTAGTTTTTCTGTTTAGTAGAGATGGGGTCTCACTCTTGCTCAGGCTGGTCTTCAACTCCTGAGCTCAGGCGATCCACCTGCCTTGGCCTCCCAGGGTGCTAGGATTATAGGATTGAGCCACCACACCCAGCCTCCTTCTGGTGCAGCTGTACAAGCGGCTCATACCACACCCTGCACTCTGTGCTCCAAAGTGCCTTCACGCCAAGGCCACAGCTGACACTCCAGGAAACCAGACACTTCCTCCCCAAGAAGTGCTGCTATGTCCTTCCCCAAATGTCCCTGGGTGCCAGCTGCATTGCAGGCATGCTGATGTGACAGGGCTGCTGCCTCTCTGAAGCCTGGTTCTGCTTCAGTAGACTCCAGAAAACGTGATTTATCATAGACCATTAAGAAGTGGCAGGTGAGGAATTATAATGGAAGGCTAATTCAAACTTACACTCTTTGATAAACAAGTAGGTGAGTGTTAGCATGACCGTGTGGCCACTGTATAGGTAGTCCCCACACATGTTGTGGGAGCCAGTGATGGACAAGCCGCCTCCTGCAATAAGCTTCATTATTCTCCGCAGTTGGGCTTCCCAGTCTCCAAAAAGCTGGTGGGAAAAGAGAAGAGATTCATTATTAACCCTAATGAAAGTGTGCTATGATAACTATTCACATCCAGAATTTAGCTTATGTTGAAATCCCCACAGTGAAGTTTGTTCACTCAACATCTACCATTCCATGGGTAGTCTTTTGAAAAAGTATGGTCCCACAGATGAATCATGTGGCTTCAGAAATTTCTGTTAGAACTTTGTAAAACACATTTTTGTAGATGTCTTACCAAATAGTTTGTTGTACCAATAGAGAAGGACCACTTCTACCTGAATAACTGATTTACCAGAATTGCCATTTGGGGAAAAGAAAGTTTCAGTCTCTAGTCTAAGAAAAATTTAGAGATGTATTTTTGGCATGGTTGGCCTAGCAGGCAATTGTCCTGCTAAGTTCGCTGGAGACCAGATAGTCGAATGCATGACTATTTTTGGTATATAAATGTTCAAGGATCAAATTAAAGTAAGGGATGTGTCTTTAATTTTCAGAAATTATGTGGCTACTGGAAGTTTTCCCTTTAATAAGAGTGAAAAAAGTTTACAAATTAATTTACCTACCTACAATACACGTTAGGCTGGATACTACAGCAATAATGGCTTAAACAGCTCACTAATTGCAACTTTTATTTGCTCTATCAAAGAAAATGTGTGACTGCCTAAATTTTACACTTTACAAACTCTTAAAATCCTGGTTGGCCCATTTAATCACCATGATCCCTTTTCGACATTTAACTAATTACAATCCAGCTTTGGGGAACATGTTTCATTACAATTTCCCTGTAAAAAAGTTATCAAGATTTCTAGTTAAGAGTGGCAGGTTGAACACATCACTCAGAGAATACGAATGTCCAGAACACTGAATGCCCAATAAATAGGAGAAATGGATGTTTCTTAGGGTTGCAGAATTTCAGAAACTGGGGACTGAGAAGAGACCCTATAGCCTCCTGAGATTAAAAATAAGCTTCATACAAACAATCATCAGAGTAAGACTTTTCAAACACTACACTGGAAAACAGAAAGCTTCGGAAAAATGTCTTCCAAGTCTCAGGGAAAATGATTTCCAAGTTAGAATTCTATACCCAGCGATAATATCTAAGCATAAACTAAGGACAAACAAAAGCCTTTTTCAGATACGTAAGAATTTTAAAATATTTGTCACTTATTTACTCTTTTCCGGGAAGTACAAAGGATATACTCTACAAAGCAGGGAGCAAACATGGAGAAAAGAAGAAACGGGACTTGCTAGGGCAGTAATGAAGCACAGATGAAGACCTGTGCAGAAGCTCAAATGTTAGGGCCCACGTGTTCTGCAGAGGTGTTGTCAGGGAGGCGGGGCTAACAGAATATCCAATGCCTTTGACTGTACAGAGAACATTTTCAAAGCATAACCTCTGAACCAGTTACATTCTAGGCGTCTACCTGAAGGACCAATCCCAAATGTGAAGAAAAGCTCCATGTACAAACACCTAACTCCAACACCAGTTCTAACAGCAACGCTGGAAGCAACCTAAATGGGAACTGTAAAAGGACTACCCCCTCGCTTGCTATGCAAAGCCTGGTCTGGGGTAGCACTGGTGAGACGGGATCCTGCTGCAAATACACTCTCAGGTCCGGAGCTGGACCTACAGACCCAGCATCGAAGGAGGTTTAAATGCACACTGAAGTCTGAGAGGCCCCGAAAGAGGCTATAACTGCTGTAATCATTAAACAAGTTCACAATGATTGTGTAGGAAGTTATGATATATCATAAAAGTTTCCCTCTATTAAGAAGAAACACAGAAAAAATGTTTGGTATAATTATGTTTGTAAAAAATTGCACAGAAAACGTCTAAGTGTTAACAGGGTTAGCTCGGAAACTGGCAGGACTGCTCCCAGTCTCTGTCTCAAACTAGCTTCTTTTATCTTTCCTTCCTTGAGGCTCTGTCCAGTGCGGGGATGTGCATTGCCTTTCACTCCAGGCAGGAGACATGGGTAGAAAACAAAACAGGAAACTCAGGGTGAGATCTTCATACGTTACATTTGGATTTCCTTCCCCAGTCTGTCTGCAACCATTTTATTATTATTATTATTATTTGAGATTTCTCAAGCTAGAATGCAGCAGCATCATCAGAGCTGACTGCAGCCTCTAACTTCCAGGTTCAAGTGATCCTCCCACCTAAGCCTCCTAAGTAGCTAGGACTACAGGCATGCCCACCACCACACCAGGCTAATTTTTGTAGAGACAGGGCTCTTGCTCTTATTCAGCCTGATCTCCAATGCTTGGCCTTAAGCAATCCTGAGTGCTAGGATTACAGGTGTGGGCCACTGTGCCTGCCCTACAATAGACTTTTGATTCCTCAAATAGCTGTGTCATATAGTCTGACCAGTGGGGTTTTCCTTTTTTTCCAGGGGGTGGGGGAGGATCTTTTTTGGCTGTGTTCCAGGGGAGAAGATAGTGTGCTTACTACACTGGAACTAAGCTGGAACTTCACCCATCAGTAGCTTTTGAACATCTGCTTTTGAAAGCAGAGCTAATTCAAGGGACAGTTGCATAGAAACTTACAGTGGACACTACAAAGCTATGACAAGAAATTCTCTTACCTATAATTCTATGTGAATTATGGTCCCCCAAGGTCACAGAAAACCAATTTCCAGTAAAAATAAAGCAATTTTCTTAGAAACTCTAATGAATGGCTAAGAAATTAAGTTAAGTAGCCACAACCCTTAAGTAATACCCAAGCATAGAAAAGAACCTCAGAGCAGGAGGGAAAGGCTTCCGAGTGCGAGACACTGTCAGGTACATTAGAACCAGTGGGCCTTGGCTATGGAAAGGCAGGTTCCCCAAGCAATTTTCCAGCGCTGATGAGCTCAACGTGCTGATGAGAGCCTGCGTCTGTCAGGCAGTTTGCACACACCTAGAGCACTCGCTTTCTCTAACTGCATTTGCAGAGTGGGGCATTCAGGAGAACCCAGAACTAAAACCCATCAATAACTCTGCATAAATCAAGGACTTTGGTATAGCTTTGACAAAGGACTGAAAGTGAGTACCAAGGCACAGAAATGCAACTTAAAAGAATCCTTGACCCTCATTAATGCTACAGCTTAGAGCAGCCCAGTAGAGTTAGTATGATAGATCCTATCAGTCCTAAGCCCCCAGTGCTGGAGCCGAGCCTAGAAGCCCAGTCCTCTGATGCCTTATATGTACGTGTATAACAGTATATGCAAAACTCTGCACTGCCTGTGCACAGCGAGGGTCCCCACCAGCTAGGTCAACCAGGCACTGGATACACATAAATACCTTTTCCTTCAGCAAGCTAGGTACCTCGCAGAAGTTGTATCTTCCTATTCTAATCACCAAGAATAGTTAAGGCATTCTTCAAAGTACTCATTCGTTCATTCTTTCCTTCATTCAAGGGATCTCCCTACCAGATCAAATTATTTTAACTTGTTCCTGAAGAACAGTCTCCCACCAAAACAGAAAGTTCATTATCACTCATGAAACAACAATAGAAGCTGCTCCTGAACACTCAGACCAAAGACCAGACCTAGTAAAGGAATGAAGCATCAGGAGCAGAAGGAAGACTGGGAGGATCCTCGGCAGGCCGGGTCTCCAGCAGCTTCCCTCCACATTGACTCCCCAAGGACCTACAACGGCAAATCCGTGCCTCTTGCAAATTTCAACTGGCATGCAGCCCTCTGTAAGTTATGAGATGTCCTTGGGCCCCCACTCCATAGGTGATATGTCTGAAAGTGTGATCAGTGCTTCAAGTTTCATAGAAGCAGTGAAAGACTCAAAAGATAAACCTTAAAATTTTTCTTAACTCTTGACTCTTACCTGGCCGCGCAGTAAGAAAAAAAAAAGAGTGGTAGGGCTTTACAAAATAAAACAATACTTTTTGTTTGTATAGCAATTTCAGCTTTTTTACAGCATTTTCCCATCAATTATCCCACTTTATCCTCACCAGCTGGTCAGCAGGTGAGCACAGGTATTACCACGTCCTTTAACAGAGAGGCTACTGACCAGCACATGAGGTTACATGTAATGACTCAGGATCTAAACCCACATGGCTTATTTCTGAGCCAAACAATCCTCCTTCGGGTTCCTGGAAAAGCCTGCTATTATTATAAACACGTTCCCAAAAAACAAGGACAATGCCCAAGGCTGGACAATACTGTGGGGTTCACTTTTAGTAGCTGTTACTGTTTTTAATGAAATTTAATCATTGTACACGTCATTTAAATGCATGGTTGAACAGCTAAATGGTATTAATCATGATTCACTGAGACCTATTTTTCATAAGTGTATTTTCTGTTCAAATCAAACTTCTGCATCTCTATGAAAATTATTTCTAGGGAACCCTTTCACAAACTTCCCATTTTCTGCCTTCTTAGACAAGGTATTCTCAATCTGATTTTAATTTCCTCATTTTGTATCGTGTTGTGTTGGTCTCCAAATTCCCTTTTCTAGGAATAACACTGAGTGCAAATCTAATCCCCAACTCCAGTGTAAGGTTAACCATATAGGTGGCTCTGGACAAACTATTATATCCATCCTGACACTCCTTAAACACACATCCCTGCAGAAGGCTCAGCTGTGGTTATCTCTTGATCGCTTGAGATTGTTCCGAGTTCTTCCTCTATATGGTAATTGCTGTACTTCTGGAAACTTCCTTATCATCAATCTCTACCCTCCAAAGCAAAATAATGTATATAAAAGTAATTGCTGAAATATTATGTAAAACATAATACTGTTATACAAATTTAAGGCAGCATTCCTACTACCAGGTTAGGTCAATCTTTGGGGGGGGGGGGTTCTGAGGTGGGAAAGCAAATGTCTAACAGCCAACGGGTGAAATCAGAATGACACTCCTTAAACACACATCCCTGCAGGAGGCTCAGCTGTGGTTATCTCCTGATCGCCTGAGATTGTTCTGAGTTCTTCCTCTACGTGGTAATTGCTGTACTCCTGGAAACAGTATTATGCCCACCTCAACTGATCTGAAGTGCAAGGATTTTACCGTGCA